TCAGTCCTTTTGCATAAAGCTCGTCCAGAATGAGACAGCAAACAAGTACAATTACTTGTTTTTTAATGCTTGCCAATATGATTCCAACACCATACTGAGTAACCCACTTAGAATGAAGAATGAAGTAGATGTTTGTGTAAATGAGTGCAATGTACCTTATCAGTTAAATCATCAAAATCGAGCGGATTTTAAATGAAGTGCATTAGCTAGCTATACTAAACTAATCTTGTTCATTGGTAACAACTCACTATACATTTGAATAGACCATTGTTTATGTACAAAGCCTAAGATTTATGTGCTCACACCACTTTCAGGTTCGGGGGGACCCCCATGGTTGAAAAAGTGTCACTAAAGTGTCCTCTAGAGTGGGGGAAATGAGAGGAAGTGCCCTATAGACTGCCCTTCACATGGGAAAAAATGACTGTGTGCCCTCTTGGGTTCCCCTTCATGAAGTAAACTATGAAGTTGTGCCCTTTAGAGCAAGAAAATTTGATAATGAGTGCCCTTCTAGTGGAGAAATCATGAGGCAGTGCCGTATAAGGTGCCCTTCTAATGGTCTAAACTTGACATTCCCTACTGGTGCCCTTCCAATTGAAAAGGGTGTCATTATGAAGTGCCCTCTATGCCGCCTCTACATGACACTGTCCCAGAGAGTGCCCTTTTCTAGTAGAGAAAATGGGATGCAGTGCTGTATAGAGGTGAGAAACAGGTGAGAAAACATGATAAAGTACCCAATTAGGTGCTCCTCTAATGAAGAAGTTCCCCTCCAGTGGATAAAAGGTGTTGCAGGGGTGCCACCAAATACCTCTCAAACCTTGCTTACATTCTACACACATTGTATGGCTGCTAAAAAAATCTTTTCTGTGTTTTGCAAGGGGTAGATAAGGTAGGCTAATATCTAGCTAGCATTTTGATGTAATCGCTTCTGCACTGTCCCTGTTTTTTATTTTTCAATGTACCCTTTAGGTTAGGCTAGATTATGTTAGGTTAAATGTATCTGATAGTAAAAGTAAATTGTTTAAAATAAAGTTTAAAATATTAATTCCCACTGTTAAAACTTGCATCTTAGTATTTTAGTAAGTTTAGTAACTTTGGTAAGTTTTTAATAATTCCCATTGTTAAAAAACATACTTAAAAACTTGTGTGTGAGGTACGCTCTTAAAACATTATGGTTCTTCAAGGGTTCTTTAGTAAAGAAAGTGGTTCTATATGAAACCCTAAACACTCAAAGAACCCTTTGCATGATTAAAGGGTTCTTTGCATCGTTAAATGGCTCTTCAGACTGATGGAGAATAGCACCAACCTCACTGAAAAGGGGTTCTTCTATTGTGACAGGCTTGACATCATAGCAATAGAAGAACCCTTTTTCAATGAGGTTCTACATAGAACCATATAAAACACATTCTTAATCAGTCTGAAGAACCCTTTAATCATGCAAAGGGTTCTTTGAGTGTTCATGGTTCCATATAAAATGTTTTTTAAGTGTGTAGGTAACACCTCAAGGTTTCTTAGTGGTTGGCAAGATTGAGTTTTACCAATGATGCATTACTAAATACTTATGTATGTACACTGCAAGTGCTTTTATAGATAGATGTTTTTAGCCTGATGCTATGTCAACCTGTGGACTCAATTTGGAAATCAAGCAGAAGTGTAAAAATCTTTCTCTTAGGGAATTATTTTAGGGCAGGGGTGCTCAATCCTGGTCCGGAAGATCTCCCACTCTAGAGAGTTCAGATGCAACACCCCAGGTTCTAATGTTCTGACGCCCCTGAATGCCCACAGGACTTTAAAGTTTGGTGTGAATTGCTTTTTCAATTAACTTAAGAGTGACTGCTCCTTGATCATAGCTTTCTCACTGACTTTATCACGCCTGCGTGTGTGTGTGTGTTTGTGTGTGAAACAAACGTTTATAGTCCCCCGTGTTTTTTTTTTCCAGAGGTGTTTGTGAAATGAACATTTTAAAGGTTTATAGTTGCCTGTGTGATCTGGATCAGGATCCTTAATCAAGGATGAAGATTTTTTCATCATATATGATGCATCATAGCTTTTTGCATGCTGGTGAAAAAACTAAATTTTCCTTGCTTTTTTAGAACGAGTTTGAGACATAGTCTACTGTGTAATCATCGTTAAACTATCACTGTCCATATAAACTGCAAAAACAGGTTGTTTCAAATTCAGCGCGTTAGCTGCCTATTCATGTTAGGAATGTTGAAGCACATCACATGGCAAACCAGAACAGAGGTCACTTACATATATCAGTCTTAAAATGTTAAAAGCACAGTAACAACAATGAGGTAAAGGAGGCTGGGAAAAAAAGATGGGTAAAAATGACTGTTTATCACACGTTTGCCCAAACAAATGTATTAAGTGGACTTCAAAGTAGTGCTCAGAGCATGTGTGTCAGGCTCCAGTCCTCGCGGGCCAAAACCCTGCAGACTTCAGATCACTGCCTCATTAAACAAACCTAATTCAGCCCATCAGCTAATTAGCAAGACCTTCATGAACTGAATTCAGAACGTTACATGAGGGTAAACGTTAATCTCCACAGCACTTTGGCCTGGAAGGTCCCCAGTTGGCATGCCTGACTTTGAGCTTTCATTACAGCTTCCATTCTTTTTGGTTTGCTTTCAGTTTTTCAAAGAAATCTGCAGGGACATTTTTCCACACCTCCAAAGTTCAGTCTTAGAAGTTTGTTGCATTTTCTACTTTCAAGATCCAAGATCCAGAGCAATATTAAACTCGACTGACTGTGTTTGAGGTTACTCAAACAGTCAGTCGTGTTTAATATTGCTCTGAGAACACCACTAGCTTCTTTGTTTGATAGGCGCATCTTAATCTTGTCAGTAGTATGCATCAAATGTTCAATCATTTGTTTTAATAAAATAAAAGGCATAGGGTCATTCGAAGCAAACAGAATTTAGTCTAAAGTCCAAGTCATTTAAAAGTCTGGGTTCTGAACTCTGACTTTGAACCAGTTCGGTAGAATGATCCATGTAGAGGGCAAATTCCTGCATGCGTATGTTCACTGCTCATATGCTTTTAATAGTAAAGCAGATTTTGACATTACTCGTAGATCAATAGAAAAGGTATGATTATTCTGAACACCTGGGCTACTGTAATTTTCCCTCACAGGTTGATAAGATTCATCTGAAAAATGAACTGAGCTGTGTTTGGACAGCCAGGAACCTGATAAGCACATTAGCACCTGTGCTCCACACGCACAGCTGCGCACCAGCAGCTCCTCCGCACTTGTCGCTTTTCTTTTATCCACCCACAGGGTTTTCTGTTTGTGACACATATCGACGTTCTCCATGCATACCGTCACCGTGATAGATTTTCAGTCGCTCACTATTAGTCCCTACTGTCCTGAACCGCCGTCTCGCAGACCTCCTTCCTTACACACACACATACACACACAATTGATCCCACATATTAAGAGTACCAAATGTCTAACACAGTCAATCAATTTGTCTTTACCTTTGAATAACAAAGTCAGGCAAGGGTGGCTATTCTTACACAGCATGAATTATTTAGCTTGGCCGCCGAATCCTAGATAAGCATGAACCTGCACTCATCCTGTTCCATTATGCCTTATTAAAGCATATCTTTAAAAGGACCGGAGACAGGACAGCATGCTGGACACACTGTGACACGTCTGTAAAAATAACGACAGCCCGCAGGATCAATTAAGCGCCGACTTCCTAATAGTGTCATTAGAAGTGATTTCCAGCCCTGTCAGTCCATATTGATAGCCCTGATTTGAACAAATAATTTTGGACTTCCGCCCAATGACTGCTGGGATAGGCTCCAGCTCCCCCTGCAACCCAGAAGGATAAACGGCTTGGAAAATGTGTGTGTGTGTGTGTGTTTTGGGTTTTTTTGGATGATATGTAACCTGAGCTGCAGAAAAACATAAAATTTTAAATTTGCTGTTTTTGTGATGTCACAAAAACCAACATACATTCATGTATCTGCTTATTCAGCCTACAGCAGTTTATCCCTGCCCATTTACTTTGAAGTTATACAGTGTGGTTCAGCCCAAACTGCTTTTCCAACGAAGCACAATACAGGGTAACCAATCAGAACAGACGCCAATCTTAAAGGAACAGTAACAAAAAAACAGCTTTTAAATTCGAAGGAATAAAGAGTTTGGAAAACGGCACGTAGAGATGTATTATGACTGTTTAGGTACATGAATCTACGGTGAAACACAAGAAAAATGTATTTGTTAAAAATTTGGTTTAGTTATTGCTGATTGCTGCTTGTTTTATTGGTATTAAGCAGGTATCAACTTCTCTATAAATAAATCATAAGAGTGAATAAAGATCTAAAGTTTCCAGTGCTGCTTCTCTTTCACTAGTGTGAGGCCTCCCGAACTTTCTGAATGTCTCGCTCTTGCATGTTTTTTTTTTCTTTCCCTTCATTTTAGATTCCTCTGAGGAGGATGTTCTCGAGGAGAATGGGGAATTAATGCGGCTCTTAACAGAGTAGAAATTAGGCCCTGTGAATACAAATTACTGCCATTGTGACAAAAGAAAGATGGAAGAAAGCATCCAGACGTCTTTTCTTTTCCTCACCCCCATATCTTTTGCCGTGTTCGGCCCTTGAAGCCGAAGCCTGAGAGGACTGGGACAAAAGAACGATCATCAATTCATTCATAATGAGAAGGTGCTTAGTTTCTTTCTTTTCCCCTCCCAAGTCAACCTCAAAAAAAGTGTAATGCTGCTTTTTGGAATTCTCCAGGTTTAAACCACTGATTGATGGTCCTCGAACATTCAAAGGAGAATCCCCAAAAGAGGTCAGACAGCCCAGACTGAGGCAGAGCACAAAACTGATGAGAAAAGGCAGAAGAGAGAACAAGATATGCTCAGTGCCTTTGTCTTGCCACTTCATACAACATCTGCAAAATAAAGTGCCGGCACAGTGGTTTCACCACAGAGCACTATCGCCATCAAGTGGTGAGTTTCAGAATTTCCACCAACACCAAAACACAAACATAATGAATGAGACGATACTTATTTTATTGGCATATTATTTGAAGCACTGGACAGCATAGTGTTGATGTGGTCAAATTGGATACAACACGCAAGAATCTCAGCATTCACCATCAACAACATGCAAAGCACACAAGCATTCATTTGACCCCACTTGATGACCACATCTAATGATGTTGACACCAGAGGTGAACAGAGGAAAACCATAATCTGAATTGCAGTGGTTTAATGTTTTTTTGCCAAGTTTTGTCAGAACTGGGAATCAATTATAGGGATACACTGATATGGGAACTGCATCCAATATCCGATATTTTTCCAGTGCTGATACCTGATACAAACATTTACATAATGCAAAAATTAGGACTACAGCTACAGATTAGCATTCCAAAGACATATAACATTCAGATGTAGAGGGTTATAAGTGTGGAAAAATGAATAAAATGCAGACATTTTCACGCAGCAGCCCAGCGTCACCGAAAGACAGTTGTATGCAGAAGTTCAAACACTCCCTGGCAAATTATATTTTGTTGAATTTCTTAGTGAAAATAGGTTAATAAACTTAAATATGGCTACATATCTTCATAAAAACCTTCCAATTTTAGTCTGGTAAAACAAACACCACTGCAAGTACACAGATCAGCAGACACACTTTCTGACAGCTTTTGGTCCTCAGTTCTGGTAGCTGAAATGCAGCTAGTGAATCAAATCCAACATAAAAGATATTCCTTTTTTCATGAGTAATTTATATAAAATAGGTACATAACTACAGAAAGCATTTTGCAGTGTGAGTAACTTTCAAAAGAAAAATCAAAAATATGATTTTCTGCTGCACATAAACATTTTCGGTAAAGAAGCTAATACTCTTCTAATGCATTATTATACTTCAACAGCAGTGTTACATTTGGCAATAAAAACATTCAATTATGATAAAAAATATAACTAAGAAATACATATATATTTTCTTTTTAAAGCAAGTTCTCTGACTGATTAATAATATTAATAATGTTCAGCATAGAGTTAAAAAAGGTGAGTAGAGCCATGCTATAAGGCTGGCAATGGTTTTTAACTCCAGTCCCACTGGACCACTTGTCCTGCACAGGTTTCAGGTATTCACTGCTCCACCACACCTGATGCAGCTCATGAAGACCTTGATACTTGGCTGATAAGCCCCAGATACAGCTAATCTCATCAAGATTCACATATTTTCAGTGGTTGAAACATAAGGTAACGGGAATTTAAAACAACTATTACTCCAATATTACATACTCCTTCTGTAAAAAATATGCTGCTATTTTTTGTTTGTAATAGTCTTAGTTGATTATCTTAGTTTGTTTTCACTTGCTTTATTTTCTTCCTCATTGTTTACTCGTACTATTAACTTGTATGTTCTCGTATTTTATTTCAAGGCCTGTTTCATTAATTTTTTTATCTTGTTTTATTTATCATTGGGTTTTATTGTCATACAAATCAGTTTCTTAATCTGCTATGATTCTGATGATTTCTTCTCGAGACACTTGGCTGCACTGTAAAAGAGGGCTGCCCTCAAGCTTAGATAAACAATGATGGATAGAGCATTCAAATCCACTAAACTCCTCCTAATTGTGTCACGGGATTGGCTGTTGAGTGCAAGTGCCATGCATCCATTTGCATGCGCATGAGGATTAATCATAGCTCAAGTACTTGAACTTTGGTTAACAAAGAAGGTAGTGAACACCACCATCATAAAACAAGGCGTTTTGGGGCAGGGAATTGCTGAAACCATGCAGGGCAGCGGGTCCCCAGGACTGAAGCTGAAACCTCTGCTGTAAGACAATCAACATTATTCTCAGGCATTTTGAATAAAGTTTAACCACTACAGTCTACGATAGTTTAATAAAAAATCGTCTTATAATAGTGAATAAGGCATGATCATATTAGCACAGTGATGGATAATAAGAAAGTGGTATAACAGCAGGAGTTTATATTAGAAGTGGATATGTTTGCGTAAGATGTCCCCACACGCCTTTTTTCCTTTACTCCAACATGTGACCTGTTCCTCCCACAAAACATTGTGCACACATATTGAATGTACCATTTTAAAATATGATTTAAAGATAAAGTACATTAAAGCAAATACCTAAGGCTATACAGTAACAGCACTGTATCTTCTCAGAAAGGCAATTCAAATAACCCTGACCTTCTAGGATGGAAAGTACATATGACAGTACGTCACATACTGATTGCTGTGAGGCCTCTACCTATAGTTTTTCATTTTGCATATACTGAATATATATTGAATAAAGTGAAAAAGCACAAGAATACATCAAAGGTCCTGCATCAATCTGCAAGGTTGGCTAAAAAGTGGATTTTCTTTCTTCTTGTATTTTCACGGTCATATAGAGTTTTCTCAAATCTGGCAGAGAACACTAAGCAATTTAAGACAAAAAAAAAATTAGTAATAACCAACTACCAAAGAGTAGTAACGCAGGAGAGATTTAAGGCTGGAGTTTGGCTCCCATCATGGAAATACATGGACTCTGTTCTATTAAGCACCGTGAATTTCATTATGAGCCTTCGATGAGCCCTGTTGTTGTGGACGTTTACTTGCGGCTGACGGTTTCAGCCAGCTTCTTCAGTCTCTTCTTCAGCTCCAGGGGGAACTTCTCATAGCACTTCTTGCACACAGGCTTCATGTCAAACTCCACAAACTTGTTTCTGCAAATAAGGCAATAAAGTGGTTCAGTTTAACATCTGTTTGTTTAGAAACATATAATCACATACTACTTTTTATATGATCTGAAGGTGTGTCTGAGCCCTGTCAGAGTTCAATTACGGACCAATTCATTTAAAATACTTGGCGTCCCATACAAGGATTAAGTTCTGGTCTTTGACTAAATGGCAATGCCAATGTCAATGATGGGCCTGGTTGAATTAGCTTGTTGTTTAAAAATTGTAATATTTTGTAGCAAGCTGTTTAAAGGGCCCATATCATGGAAATAATGAGTTTGATGTACTGTATAATCATTGCTAGTCCATACAGGCCATGTTTGGAGCTGTAAAAATGGTCTGTTTTGAATTCATTGTTTCTATGAAAACAACACATTTACGCATATCCCCCTGTTCAGGATACATAGTTCAGCTCCACCCATTCTTGCTGAAGTTATAGGGAGTGTTTCAGCCGGGACTGCTTTTTGAATGAGGCAAATTGTTGGAAAATTGTTGTAAAAGTGAATTATAAATGTTTTTGGTACATAAAACCACACAAACGTTAAGTGGCCCTTAAGGAAAAAAATAAAATACATGAAAATTAAAATGGATAAAATTGAATTGTTCCTCTTTAGCTCTGTATCAATTACTGCCTTTGAAGCATCATCACGTTACTTATCATTGCTGATATCCCTTTACATCGTCCTACTGCACAAGTCAATAATTGATGATTAATAATAACTTTTTAGTCCAGTTTCAGGCGTAATTGGGGTCTGGAAAACTTATATTTGAGTTACAGTACAACATGCATGACTGCTCCATCCAAGATCTCAGAAACATCAACTGGGCAGTAATGGGGAAAATAATAAAACCAGAAATTAGGAACTACTGGCAATTACTTGTGAAAATGTAAAAATAAAAGCTGATATTGCATAAAACCAATAAAGCATTCCCAAAAACAAATAAAAGTGAGGGGGAGGGTGCAAAATGAAGACTGACCCAAATATAAGCGAAGGAGGATGAGCAAGGAAAAAAAAGAGGACAAGGAGACAGAAGAGTTACAGACAGACAGCAGCAGTCTTCTTCTTCCGCTCACGAGTGTCACGTTCTCGTTTAGCAAGCCGCCGTTTCAGCTCCTCAGGCAGACGGTCATAGCAGTGCTTACAAACCGGCTTCAGGTCAACCTCCACAAATTTGTCCCTATGAGGCCACCGTTGCAGCCCAGCAAGGGAGAGGAATTATGATGGAACAGAGAAAGGCAGGAAGATGCAAGATAGGTTTTTAAAAGAAGAGAAAGAACAGAGGACAGAGATGAGGTATGATGTATTGGTAACAGCAGAGGTAGAGAAAAGAATGGAGTGGGAAAAGACAAAGACAAAGACATTAGCAACAGACAAACATCTGCCAAGAGTACTGAATTAGAAGACACACACAGAGGGTTGAAGCGCAAAAGCACTGAGTGTAAGCATACTTGTACTTGGACAAGCAGCAGAGGGAGCAACAAAGCAAGGTAGAGAGTGAGAGTGTGCCTGTCTACAACACTTACTTCAGGGTGAGCTTGGTGTTGCAGGTGGAACAGGAGAAACAGTTGACACACCAGGCCTTGTTCAGAGCAGACACGACTGCAACAAAAGACAAATATATTAACAATCATCAAACCTGTCACAGTGAGAACTGTAAAAACAATGCATGGTAAACATGAACACACAGCACTTGATTAACTTTGATGTAACATCTGAACCTTGATTTTCTCATAAGCACAACTCTTAACTATTTTCTGAAATTGCATGAAATTATCACCCCAGGTAGCTGTTCATATGGTCCTACAAACACAATAATCAACAGTGGATAAGGAACCAAAAGTACCTTCATAGAATATAACACGACAAACATTCAGAATTGGACATAACAAAAACGACCTTCAAGGGATCACAAGAAGTGATCCTTCTTGACCTATTAAAGGTCTCTATTTGTGTCCAGGTGGCAAGAAGTCCTGGTGATCCTTCATCATCAACTTCAGCAAGGGCTGACATGATCATGAAGTTTCAGCTGACAATTAACTGTCATACAAATTATTGCAATTAACAATTTTATTGTCTTTTCATGCTCATTGTATGCATTTAGTAAAGTGGCTTACTGGCCATTTTGCTTCCTAACTGTGTTTACTTAGTAGCCAAAGCTGGTATACTGATACACCACATTGCTGGGTACATGCAGGCTCTCTAACATAAATGCCTCAGTTACACAGAATCATGTGTCAAACAAAGCTTGTATTTTCTGAGTGAAAATATAAGCAAAAAAAATAGAATTTCATTCACAATGCATTTTCTGCTTTCATTTATATTTATATGCCTCAACATAACACACTCAATTTATATTTTGCTTGTTGCAGCTTAAAATTACTGTGAAATCTAATGACTGTGGAAAATGACTGTAGTCAGCTAAAATAACCGTGATTATCTCAAATGATCACGATCATCTCAAATATTTTGTAATAATTGTGACAGGCCTAACCGCTGTAATGATACTCAACACTGCGGACAGCTTAATTCCTGAGATCAGGTGTTCCCATTCCCAGTCCTGGGGATCCACATAATATGTACACTTTTCTGCTTTTCCTCATTTAGCACATCTGATTAAACTCATCATTGAATTAGCAAATGTATGCACTAGATAGATTTTCCTGTTGAAGTAGGAAAAACACATTTCTCATATACAATAGTTAGTTTAGTACTTCTGTATATGATTTGCCATGCATCAAGGAAAAAAATGCTGAATATCAAAACAACTGGTTTTCCTAGGTGGGATATTACAGTGTCACCACTAAGCCAAGGGCTCCATGACAATTTCAAGTACACTGTCATTAGACAGAGCAGTGTAGAAGATAATTACCATCGCCTTCAATCACACGGTTGCAGTGGTAGCAGACATCACCGAAAAGCTGTCAGAATGGATGGATAGAACAAGTTCAATGAGATTCATTTAGATATTTAGACATGTATTCATTCATTTAGACAGTGTATAATCAGCATTATTACTATCACAAGCCAGAAAGTGCAGGACATGCAACATATATTTAATGTACAAAACATTCATGTCTTTACCAGTCTATATAATACAATATTCCAGCACAAACAGGCATCTTAGTCTACTCAATCAACAGCATATTCAGACTATGTAGGGAAGACAGTTTTATTTGGACGGCAGAGCACTGTTTTACCTGGTTGTAGTGAGTCTCACAGTATGCCAAACCTTTCCTCTCATAATGGCGATGCCCCAAGAAAGGTTTCTCACACTTGGCACACACAAAATGCTGCAAACACACACACAAACAGCAGCAATTTAAGCAATCAACTTACAGTAACATGAAATCAGGATATGTGAAAGATTTATTATAGGCGTGTTACTGAACAAAACGTTAAACATCAAACAGAAAAGACATGGGCAATTGAAATATATGTACACAGTGCCTATACACAGTTCAAACTGCTCCCAATATGATTTATTTCAAAATGGAGATGCTGTGAAGCACTGAAGAGGTAAAAAGCTTTTTACGGTATTCATTCAAGAGGATTGGTATCAATTTCAGCATGTGCTAAACATGACATGAAATCTAACCTAACCTTTATGGGTGTTAAAGACAAAAATATATTGTGCTGAATATGCGTTCTCAACACACTTACCTCAACATGCCACTGCTTGCCCATGGCGTTAACCACGCGGCCTTCGATAGGCCTTCTGCAGGCTCCACAGATGGGCACACCCATTTTATCATGGCATGGGAGGCAGTAGAGCTCTCCTTTCAGCTCTCGAGCATCAGCAGTCAACTCCTTACTGTGGGGGGAAAAAAAAAAATCCCACATCACACATTAAACACATTCATACATCTACAACAATCAACACAAAGGCATGACCTCTCTGACCTCAATGATTCAGTATCATTATGACTCTTTAGGAAATAATTAAATGCACCATGAAATAAAGTTTAATGAGAATTTGATTCGATTTTTTTGGTGATGACATTAAAAACTCAATACACAAATCTGACTGGCAAAACTATTTGCACAGTAATGGAATATAAACAATGAAAATTCAGGTATTACCCAGAGAGGCACAATAAAGCATAAAAGGTTGGTAAGTGACGCAAAAACATTTCTGTTACTTTGGTGCTGTCTCGTCCTGCATTATTTCAAAACCAAAAATATTCAAATCTGCACACTCACATGGTCTCCAAAGAAGGGTATTTTCAAGCCAAGGTGCTGGTTACCATTAGCTTAGTTAACATGATAACAGCGCTGCTCACAACATAACATGTTTATATCAGGCTATATTATAAAAGACCAACACAAGTTCAGAGGATAATGATTCAAATCTGAGGCAGCAGCTATGCAAAGACTTTTGCCAATTCGATTCAGTACATCCCGCTTATAGATTAAGACTGAGGTAACAATCTGACAAATCTGTCTACATACACGCTACAAGTAATCCGATCCAAAATTACACACATGCTTAAAGAGATAGACGAGTAGCAGAAAGCAGAGCTTGTGTTTTTAATAGCTTTAAAATTATGGTGGAAAAAGTACTTCACATGTACTTATTAAAGAAGGGCGAGAGAAAGATGTCATGTTCTGAGACACATAAGCTTGACGTTTAAGTTCAAAACAAACTTTGTCTCCTCTGCAGATCAGTTTCTGTGCCCACCACAGTGAATGTTACAAACTTCTGCTATGAAGTAAATGCACGTGCAGAGCGTACTTAAACTTTCCGATTGGAAATGTAATGTGATACAGGCGTTTACATGGTTATTATTCTTTTATTTAATGGATTATTTGCAGAATTACCTACTTTGTTCAGTTGGATAGAAATTGTATTCTGAATCCTCAATCTTGTCACCGTTTACAAATAGCGTCAAAATCTTGAAACACTGCAGTATACCTTATTACCATTCTCCTGCCCAACCCTAGCACATACTTTTTAAATATTATAGGACTGGCCCAAACAGCATATAACAGACTTCAAATACTGGTGGTACAAATGGCAGTATTTCCAAACGAGTCCCCGAATATTTGTTCTTGAACCACTCCATACATACATACACACATACATCATCTAAACCTAAACCTAAATCTAAACATCTTCTGTGTTATAAACTGTAATATACAGACCTCCTAAGCGAATTGTTTTTGGCAGAAATTGCAGAACCAGTATCAGTGGTATCCACAAGCTATGATAAAATTCTTATCTCTGGAGAATTTAACTTACATACTAATAATTCATCAGACAATAATGCATGAGAATTTATTAGACTTCTAGGGACATTTGATTTGCAGCAGCACATGGGCAGCTCTACCCACAAGCTAGGTCACATCCTGGATCTGGTGATCATTAAAGGTTTAAAACACAAACGTGTCCCTCATCTCTGATGTTTTCATATCAGATCACTTCTGTATATTCTTCCAAGCCAGTGAAGTAAGGAAGAAAGTGTCAGAAAACTATTTGAAAAAGCGTTACAACTCAGGAACTGCTGAGAACTTGACAACTTAATACCGAAAAACTGAAATACTGATACTTTACTCTTGAAACTCAGAGAAAAATGCTTTATGAGAAGCCAGGCTCTTTAGATTTATATACCAAACATGAAGTATGAAACCTGGTTATAATCTAAGACTCTAAGCTCTGTTATAGCCTGCATGTAAATGCAGTCATGAAAGTAGCCTTTTATCATTTAGAAAATATTGCTATTTCTATCTCAGATCAATGCAGAGAAACTTGTTAATGCATTTGTTACAACCAGAGTAGATTACTGTAATGCTCTTTTTACTGGGCTTCCTAAGAAAACAATACATTATCTACAACTCCAACAAAATGATTTTAACAAAAACTAAAAAGGAAGATCATATCACTCCCATTTCGAAAGACCTGCACTGGCTAACTGAACTTCAAAATACATTTTAAAATTCTGCTCCCATTTTTAAAGGTTCTATATGACCTCCCCTGTGCACCTCACAGAACATCTATGTTCTAACACATGATCTTAGATCTGCAGATATTGGCCTTCTGCAAACAACTTCTGTAAAATACAGAAAACATGGAGAGGCACATGCACACCATATTTTAGTGTGTTCTTTTTTTCCTCTATACTCAGTAATGCTACTTCTTTCAGTTTTAACAGAAATATTACAGTGTTGGTTTAAATTTATGCATTAAACTAAACCAACTACAATTTAATTTTAACATTTTCCATTTTTCAGTCTAAGCTGGAGAAATGTTTTGCGGTAGACTGACCGATCAGCTATTAAAAGACTGTCGCTTACTGTCATGTACACCCATTATTGTCATATACAGTATATAATGCAGTGTTTCTGTGTGTCCACTGACCCGCAGTTGCTGCAGTTGAAGTGGTCTGGATGGTACGGGTCGTTCTTGAAGATGAGAGGCTGCTCTTCAATTATGGCGTGGCATTTCTGACAAATGTACTTCCCCAGACCACGAGCCTTCTCCCGATTATGACATGGACGACACAGGTGACTGAAAAACACCAACACACACCAAGTCTCAATAACTGAATGATGACTCTGGCTCCCCAAATTTAATTTCATTCATCATTGCTAGAGTTGCAGTTTCGTATAGATGCAACCGTTAAGAAATACAGTGATTTGCTACAACTGCATGAGACAGAGAAGACACTGTACACAGGCTGGAAACTCTGGGAAACAGAAGTGTCTAAGCACTTACCGGCCAGCATTTTTGACAAATCCAACATCAGCCAGCACAGCCTGACAAAGGTCACAGCAGAAGCAGTCAGGGTGCCAGCTGTTGTTCATGGCTTTTATCACACGGCCAATGATGAACTCTCCTATAAGCATGAGGAGGATTTACTGTAAGCTGTGTCAATAACAGATAATAAAGCACATAAACTCAATAAACATGTACCAGTAATCATGTTGGCACTGAATTATTTCTACAGGCCCACAATAGAATAAATTCAGACAGTTGATAGTTTATGGAGAAACAAATCTGAATGGAGTTTGAGAATATTTGACAGCCCTAGGCAGTGTGTGTGCTTGATAATATATAATCTTACCACACTGGTGACAGCATGGGGCAAACAACATTTGGAAGTCATGCTCACAGTACTTCCTCCCTTCAAACTAGAGAGACAGAAAAATGAAAACCAATGTTTTAGCATGGTTTCATGCCCAAGGACAGATATCGTAACAGCAGAGCTTTCCATACTGTTTCAGATGGGGGTGGCCAATATGACAATATGTTATTGTTATTGTGCTAAAGTACAGTGTATTTTCAAACACCGAACTACTGCATATAGCACTTATGAAAAAAGATTTAGGACATATTTAGACCAACCACAGAGAGCCTGTGAACAACAACAACAACAACCAGTGTGCCTTTAATCATGCTGCTATATTTTTACTATATTGCACCATACTGATTTAATATGGGCATACTGTGGATATCATCAGTGATTAAAAGAACACTATTTTTTTTTTTCTTTTTATGTGGCACTACTACATTGTGATACATATTATATATCATGTAGAATTTTGCCATCATACCCGACACTACAGCACAATATCTATACAAAATTCTCTAGGAAGAGAATCACTCTAGGTAAGAAACAGAATGCAACATTACATGATACATAATACATACTACATAATGCATAATGCATAAATGAACCAAAGCACAAATGCAGGAGGTATATGACCATGTCCTTTTGACTGACAGCCATGCTTTACCTCATAGAAGAGTCCTTCTGGAAACTGCTGGAAGCACTGGGCACACACGAAGCACTGCTCATGATACAGCTCGCCATTACTATTGACAATCTTCTCTGCCGGGGCAAAGCCGCTTTTGCAACGTTCACATGCGGCATTTGCCAGGGCATTGGCCATATTGCTGGGGAGAGAACAATGTAAAGTTGAAAAAATGTTTTAGTCATTCACTACTGTACTATTTTTTCTGTTCCTCACTGGATAAACATGTATTCAACTGACTTTATTTAAAGAATCAAATCTAAACAATAACAAAGATGCCCAAATTAATAAACATTTATACTACAGGTTTGTCTGTAATAGAGTTTAACAGTACTCTAAATAAAATGGAGAGCATATTCCAGAGCATACTGGCACTGCAGTCAGAGTACAGAGCATTGGGTTAAAAAAGGAGTAGGGTGAAGTCATGACAGCAAATAGAAATCTGTAAAAGGGCACACTCACTCACTTTTGGTTGGGGTGTAAGTTTTCCTGAGCTCAGGTTCTCTACAAAAAGTTTACATTCAGGCTAAAACCACTGCAATTTTTGCATGTGGAATTTCATAAATCTTAATTTCTCTCTACCACTGCCTAACGTATAAAATACCAATTCTTTCATTATAAAAGAAAGCTACAACAAGCCATTATTTCCATTTAGAAGGCAGGCTACATCTTATGGGTCCAGGCTGTTTGTGTACCGCGGCATAATGAGAAATGCCAAGTAAACTTATGTGCTACAACAAAGAGCGCTACAGTCACATTAATTTTCACACTTGTATTCTTCACATAACAGAGCGGCGCCAATTTTTTATTTATTTATTTTTTTACACTGATGCCTTCAGTGAATCATCACATGGCCAATTCATATTCAGCTGTGCCTTAAATCTACATTTCACATGAGGATTCCTTCTCATTTAAACTATATAAATAAATTGGAACATGAAGGAAGTTTTTACATTACACGGACAAATCACATGTAACACATAAAACTGATAAATATACCATAGTTAAATATCTAATCTGCCAAATAGTTATAGTCATGTGCTACATTATGCTTTTTTTGCAGTCCAACATCTAGATGATAAGCTCTAACAATGTCTGTGTAAGAACAGAGTAATGACTCATGACTCACTGATTCATAACACACATATATTTGGAGTCCAATGAGAATAGTTAGAAAAGAAAAAATTAATATCATAGCTTATAGTTACTTTTGTAAACAGTCAGACTGCATGACTAAGAGCATTGACAGCTGCATAACTATTAGGAGTGGTTACATTACAACGACTGCAGTAGGAAATGTTCAAATTTCCTACAGCAACTCAGCTAACATGCTTACATCATGAGTGGGAAAAGGAAAGATGATTTAGCACATTAGAACATAGTTCTGTGGTGTGAACTACAACTGCCCGTGTCTTGAAAAAAAGCAAAGTGTGGAACTACGCGGAGCTGGAAATGACCTCCAAATAAGGCTGTATTATGAAACCCAGCACAAACCCATAATTAGTGCCTTTAAACAGCACTTCAATGCCATGACTCTAAACTTGACGTAAGTAAATACTTGATTGAGAAATGAACAAACCAATAGAAATGGTCCAAAATAACCTTATATGAAAGTATTATATTAGCAGACATTAAAACTTATCTTAAGTTATTTCTTTGCCTTCTCCTGTAGTTACTTTTAGGTACAAAGTTTCGTTTGGACAGCAAAATATATATTGCAAAATGACATTAATCACGGGTTTGTGTTGGGTTTCATATGAAAGTAATTCAATATGAAAGTAATTTTCTCTTATTTTATAGTCAGACTTCAAAGACAGATGTCAAAGTAAACACGATACCGCATTAACATGACAAATTATAAATGCCACTCGTTTTTTTTCAGCAAGTTTTCCTAGCTTGACCTATTGAACAATTCATGGTTCAATCCTGAAGCCAAGCTGTTTATGATCTGTATGCCTGATGGCAGTAGTCAAATACAGGTTTTAAATGACAAGTTCCATTATGGCTGTCTTGCGTAGGCAAAAGTGATTTACAGCAACTGCCATGGTGTGAATTTGTTTATCACTGAAGTACATTTGAGTACTTGTTCCATTTCAGCAAAGAGGGATGGAGAAAATATAGAGACATACAATTAAATGAAGCACTGCTTTTGCTCGTATTTATGAGTTACTGTATTTTACACTCTGCCCCTCCGAAACACAAGCGCTGTTGTTAAGGTTGTTAAGGATGTGACTGAGAAGGCAGATGTTACGCAACATTATCGCTAACTAGGCTAACTAACATTGTCCACTAAGGAGAATATACACTGAGACGAGTCCTCATCAGCATCCAATGCTGTACCAGTTAGCTTTACTTTTAGATCATATCTGAAGAGGCAGCCTCCGCTACCATACGGAATTTAGTCATATATAATTAAGTCCTAATACTTTTTTTCCCCTTATCTAATTTCAACATTTGTCGGCATACACATTCACACATATCGGCTGTCAGATAATTACAGTAATTAACTGTCAGTAGCTGGAGCTGTGCTGGGCTTCTGGGTGGAACAATGGGTAGTTTGATGGGTCAATCTAGAAAATGAGTTAACAGTGTAAAAAAAAAAAAATAGTTGCATTAAGCATTTGCCACATTTTCCAGTATGACAAACATCATGCATGCATTTTTGGCTTTGTAGTGCTTTTACTGTATTGCATTTTGTATGGCTTCGGAATCAAGGCTACGCATGGTTTGACTATTTTATTGTTTGGCCTTTTTAAAGAACCGCGATTACTCATTTAAACTTCAAGATAATCAGTAGATCATTAAAGTGTATATCAAAAATGTCTGCTGAATCCAGTGGACCATTAAGTCTGTCCGCTGTTGGACAAGGTCATCTGATCTAAAGTGTGCCCACAACTTACTCACACCTCCAGTCAGTCTGGCCTGTAACAGGTCAGAGCCTGAATGATTAAAGACATGTCTATTCCAGCTGCATCTCAAGTGACTCAGTGATTCCCTCCCCAGTTATTTCTACTGTATGACATCAGAGGTATCATACTAAGCAGTGGTCAGGCTAACATTACGATTTCTGGCCCACTCTTTAGTTCTTCCCATGGTAGCAAAGCAGCAAGATGAGTCCAGGGATAAGGACCCTGGTAACAACCCATTTCCTATTATGGTAATGTACAGTTGGGACTGACTCCTCTCCTCTCATCCTAAAGCCGGACTAAGCACTCAGCGCATGACTTCCTGAGCATGCCTGCACTGTTTTAAATAAAAATATGGACATAGATAAGACATGAGAAACGTCTCTAAATCAAACGCTTGAGGCAGGAGCCACGTTCTCTGGAGCAGCGTATATTTCAAGCTCTGTCTTGCGCTAGTGTTCTTGGCACACTAAAGAGATTTGACACAGTCATGGGAGATGGCTTGCCGAAGGGTTGAAACATCTGTTTGATTGTGTGTGTAAACTGAACCTTAAGACTACACAAGTAAGTGTGTGTGTGTGTGGTGTCTAAATATCAAGATCACACACTCTTACATGTAGCCTATGCAACCTCAGTTTTTTTTAAAGCAACATTACATTAAAGAACTGTGACTGATCATGTCTGCGTCTAAATATGAACAGACAGAAGCAGTTAAAATGATAAGTGAAAAATGAAGAATGGAAATCACTGGTTTTAGGTCAGCTCTTAGCAAAGAAATTAAAGGGGAAATGCACTGAATATTCAAAATATCTGCAAAATTGAATCATTAAAATGTAAGCAAAGTCACTCAGCGTGGTTTGATGTAAAATTCTCCACTTTAGAGAAACTCAAGACTCAAAAGATTCTTCACAGTGGTGGTGATGGGAACCAGATGTCTGAAGGGTTGAACTACTCTAAAAGCTACCTCAGAAGTTACTAGTTAAAATGTTCACCAATACTTCGCCTGATTCACAAAATGATTTTGGTCTAAACATATCACAAAATGTAACACAGTTTTTCCTTCCCCACTTATTTACTCTCATTACATACATTACATACAAAAACTCAAAAGATAGGCGTAGATTCGCTGGTCGTTCTTTGGCTGAATTTACACAGAACATGTTTTAAATAACTTTTAAGGAATGTTGATCTTGGCTAACTGTTAGCTAAATAAATGCATTTTTTGGCCAGCCCTGACAAGTTATGCAAAAAGTCCCTAAGGACAGAGAAAATATTTAGAAAACCTCAGCACAAGAACATCCAGCACAGCAGCAGCTTAATGTTGTGGACAGAGCTAACTAACGTTAGCTAACGTTACGTTTGATTCGTCTTTTCTCCAAAAGAAACTAACGTTACATTTTAAAGACTGCTGTTCACACAGCACTTCAACAGGTCAGCTAGGTTATATTAGCAATTGTTCCAGTAACATTGTATCCCAAATATCTACTGAAATATCTCCATAAATTACCTTACATAACCTAAACTATACACATCTGCCAAAGTTAAGGGATATTAAAGCCAAAGCGTCCCTTACCGATGACTTCTGTTAGCTGCTGGAAACGGGGACCAGCTAGCTGAGCCGCTGCCTGGAAAAAAATGTAGCTCGAAGGCAAACTAGATGGCAAACTACTTGCTATTCGTTTGAATGTGAAAGCAATACGCTTAAAGTTGTAAATTCTGTCAGAACATAGCTACACTCTTGCGTAAACAAAACCGTATTTAGTTAACGTTAAGTTAAGGTTAAGGTAATATTATGTAGCTAGGTCGCTAGCATCAGTAGCTAATGTCTCGCCTGCTAGGAAAGAAAGAGAAGTGAAGCCCGCACTCAGGAAAAAGGCAGCAAGTTCGCTTTGCCTTACCTGCCCGTCATGTCTGCCACACCCAGCATCCCCTACTAGACAGCTAATCCAGAAAGTGTATGGAGAGTCGACAGCTTTAAGCTAATTTTACATTAAGGGGCTCAAAAAAGGGGAAAGCAGCGTTAGCCTCCACTTTTCTTCGCTGGACTCGCAGTGAAGACGCCCTTCCTGCGGCCAGGGGAGTGTCGACAAATTGCTCCTAGATCTTCAACACGGACTTTTATGGTAAGAGGTCAGTTGCTCAGTTCACCAAAGCACGGAAAACAAAACACTTTGTATCCAGTTTGGTCAAAAGGGGTTTTAAAAAGCTTCGCTTAGTTATAGGGGTGCTTTTTTGTCCGAGACTTGAACAAGACTTCGAAACAAGAAGTAAAGCAAACACGAAATCTGACAGACTTCATTTATAAACACTAGGTGGCGGTGTTGAATGTGAGATTTAACCTAGCATATAAAGGGATAGTTCAGCGCAAAATCAAATTAACACAGTTTTCCCCTTACCCCAAAACGTAGTCAGTGCTGTTTGATGTCTGAAGTTTGCACCTTCACTTTTGAACTGGATCTGCGAAGCTAATATAATAGAAATGAATGTCACTGAAAAAGACTTAACCTGCTTACTTAGTTAGCTAGTCCATTACTTGTTAGCTACATTAGCCTTGTAGCTTCTGCTCAAAACTACAGCAAACTGTGGACAACAAACATGTCTTGGCTGATTACATCTGAGGTAAGAAGAGAATTGAAAGTAAGATTTTCCAGTAAGTGCACAATTATATTTTTAGGTTTTTTATGTGGTTTGTAGCCTTTTTTCTAATCAGGCCAGTATCTCAGTATCTCTTCTGTTTTTTTGCTGTTTGGTGATACACAAAAAGTGTAGCATTATCCTATCTGACCCGCAAAATTATTTTCATTTTCTATTAATATTAGGCTGTTTCACAATGCCCTGCACTACAATCCCCAGCATGCACTGCAGCATAATGTGTGTAGCCTATTGTAATGTGCATAATGTTGTGTACTGAAGCCTATTTATATGTTTATTCATTTTATTTGAATATTTTAAGTATTCATTGTGTGATATTTCAAGGTTCATTTCAACTGACTTTATTTTGATGTTGGTGATTTGGTGTATTTTGAATAAACAATGGCCAGCTCAGGTTATAGCAAAGTGTTATTTAACAATCAATTAAAAACACAAAAGACGTTCTCTGGCCCACAGATTAGAGGTTTTTTAACATGGCCCTTTTACTGAGTGAGTCTGACACCCCTGGTTTAGAAACACAGTCCTTGTTTTGCTCTTTCATTCTAAACACTGCACTGATCTCCACAGCCTTTGACATTACTGTCATGGTTAACCTGTTTTCCACCTTGATCCATGCAAAGTTATGGATCACTTCCTTCCGTGAGTGACAGAAGTGTCTGGCCTGCTAATTAATATTCATGGCCACATAAAATAGGTAAATTACTGTCTGCCCTGGGGGTGCTAAAGTGAAATGAAAAGATAATGTCAAATAAAAAGGAGCCACCCACCGCCATCATTCCCTTCAAGGTCATTACTGCTTTGTGAGGGTTGAGACCATATTATGTATGGTGGAAACCACGACGATAATTCATCACCTAAGACTTTTAGGCTGGAGATAAATGATCGCCACCCTCCTACCTTTTACATGCACACAAACGCTCACATGCACAGCCTACAGCGTCCACAGGTGCAGATACGGTACCCGGTCATAACTCTTCATAACGGAGGAAAATGACCACAGGCCAAATGGTCATTATTTCCCTATTTATCATTAAGTTAAATCAGCTTTAGCACAGGTTCTGTTTTACTCTAAAAAAAGAAAAACAGCAATACCTCTATTTCTCTGATGCTCACCCAGTATTGCATTATGATTATGATGGACATCTGTGAAACGTTTTATATCTCTATGAGTTAGATGGAATCAGACAGATGCGAGAGGATCCTGGAGACTGTATCCAGAAAGTGGGGATTTCTTTATTTTTGTAGTGACATTGTCCCTTGGGGGACAAAAACCTGTATCTCATCTTTTTTCCTGTTCCTGTTGCCTGCATTATTGTCTGTGTACAAATAGCATTACTAATGTTTTAATGCTCTGTGAATGATAAATATAGATCCATATCAATGCAGCCCAGAATACCTGAGCGCCACTGAAAGACAGTTAAAGCTTCCGGCCCCTGGATGGCTCAATAGCAAGCGAGAACGGAGCCTGCTGGTGTTTTCCTGCAGGCTTTAATAATGCAGAGCTATATGTCTCTGAAGAGCGTTAATGTGGCCCGTGCTGCTTGATAATGGCTATTGAAGAATGGACTGCAGTCTGGGGGGCCTTAAAGGTGGACATTATAGCTCATGAGAAGCATTCTCCTGTGGAGAGAGGTAGTTAGATTTTGCAATATGGGTTAAAATGAGGAGCATGAAAGGAAGTTCATTGACAAACATGCGCACACACATACACTTTTACAGACACTGAGCTGCACTGAACTAGAGATCACAGGAAGAAATATCAATACAAGTGCCTAGAAATGCTGATTTGATCTTCTGGAAAACATTGTGTGTCTGTCAATAGCAATGTTTCCATCCAATTTCACAAATTGCAAGCAATAAAATGAAGATAGCGTTTTTAAATATTTGTGATTTTTGCTGCCCATCAGTTTAGTTCCATATTACTCACTTTTAGCAACAAAAAGCTTTAAGTTATATCATTTCCTTTTGGTTTATCCAAAAAAAAGAAAAGTTGTATTTGACATGTTTCCATCTCTAATTTCATGTATGTTGCAAACTGTGTGCCCTTGGCTTCCTGACAACAAATTATTTAACTTGAGAGATCCAGTTTCTCTGCTGTGTAGAGCTGTTTTAGCACTATATTTGGAAAGGCTGTAGGCTTTTTGGACTTCTGTCTCTGTCTCTAAGTCTCTGTCACTAAGTGTTTAAAAGTGGCAGCATAATTTTAAAGCACTCTCATCTCTTCCTTCATCCAGCTAAACCGGTAGGCCATGCTGTTTGTGTTTGTTATAAGAGGAATAAGAGGGAAATCTGTAACGTGTCACTAAATGTATGTGTAAATGCGTTCTCTCTCTCAAAAAAAGGAAAGCTCCCAATGAGGTTTTCGAGACATTTTATGTACCAGTAAGCAAAGTTGAACAGAAAAAATGTTTTGGATGGAAACTTGTCCCAGGAGGGTCAATGAAGTGTGTATGTTTGCTCAAAATGGCAAACACTGACTTTATTCTCACTTTCTCCATGTATCATTCGCTCTGCACAGATCCATCTCCCCAGCCAGGCATGTCAAACTGGGGTCCTTCTGGGCCACAGGTCTGCAGAAATAAGTACTTTCCATCTTCTAAAGGTACAGTCACACTTGTGTTTTGTCAAAATGTCCTGAGCAAAAGTGCTTTCATTTCAATGGGATATGTTCCAACAAACAGTTTAGCAGTGCTGACTTCCAGAGCCAATAACTTTTGCATGCAAAAGTTTGCATCAAATTAGACTTTGGGTAACTTTAGCATGTGAATTTGTGACCTCAACCAACATCACTGCTGTTTTGGCTGTGTTGAGCTCCAAATGGGCCTCCTTTCATGTGGCAGTACAGAAAATCAAAAATGAAGGAAACACAACAGCAGGTTAACAAACCTCTTAACATTGCACACTGCCTATAAATAAACACAGAAATTATGTTTACAGTAGGTGATTTAGATAACTTCCTAACCGCTATGTTAGCTTCTTGACTAACCACAGCTGCACACACAGGTCACTCCACTGCCACTAACCACACCAGTTACATACACTTTTTTTGCTACAGATCAGTGTGCAGCACCATCATGGGTATATAACAAGTATTTTCTCTTTTGTGTTTTTACTGTTTATAGTTAACGAGTTAGCTAGTTTGGCAACAGCACCAAAATGGAGGATTCTTTTCATTTCCAATCTTCCGCTCCAGCCTTGGTTACATCCTATTCACAGGTTTTTGATAGGCTGCAGTGGTCTAGGTTTAGGTTTGGAAAACTTAGCTTATGAGTTGAATCAGGTGTGTTTAATGAGGCAGGGCCCTAAACTCTAAACTGCCTTGACCTGGCCTGGTACTCTAGTACGAGAATCCAACACTGTTTTAGATGATTTATAGGCACAAAATGAAAATAGTTGTCCAAAATGATATATTGTATCATTATCTATGTAATGCTTGCATTCCACCTAAAACATTTTATTTAGTGAAGGAGTAATAACTATCACTGCGTTTGCTTAGCAAAAGAGTGGACATGTTGACTCTAAAGAGTCATATAACAAGGAACTACTTACCAACTGAGCTTCCCAGCGTTCCTCATGATTTTGCTAGTTTCTATTAATTAGATTTCCTTTTTATTGACAGTTTTTGTATTATAACGTTATGCCTGTTTTGATGACTTTGTTAAAATGTACTTTATATTTTATGTTGTTTTGATATTTGAACAATGATGGTGTTTTATGCTTCATTTGTCCAGTTTATTCCATATTCTTATAATGAAAGATGAGCTGAGTGTTCTTTTTATTGAGCAGAGTATGGTAGAGAAGTGTTTTTCAAACTGAGGGTTGTGACTCACTGGTGGGTCACAGAGTAGAAATGGGTGGGTCATGATGAGGACAGCACAGCTCAGTGAAGCCATTTTAGATTAGTGGAGGGACCCCACTAATGGGTGGATTTCTACACTGCACCGGTGAGGCCTTTTATACTGGCCATACACAGCAGGCATGAAGTGCAGTTATCAAGTGTCACGCAGACGGAGTGACACACTCAAAGCTTTAATTCTATTTTTTGCTTTTTACCACAAGATATATGCCAGTAGAATCAACAAACAAATCAACATACACCTGTTTTTCACTTGTTATTTCACAGTAATGCAGACATGACGAAACAATGTAAAGTGTTATACTGAAGGTAAGAGCCGAATGGATTAGACATAAATATGGAAGCCGTGTTGTCAGTGTCTTATTGTTTCCATTATTTTTATCTTTTATTACTATTCCGCCATCTCACTAAGAATGTGATAGTGTAGGCCTAAGCCTTTGTTTCATTCTTTTTCAGGGTATGCTTCTAGAGAATCCTGGCATGGAAATGTTAGCTTTTATCCAGGCTATCTTACAAAAGTGCTTTGTTATCCACTCAGAGAATGTATCCTTTACTGGTAAAAATAGGTAAGAGTCCAAGTTGGCCATCAGCCATTGCCAGAAATAGGGGTATAAGTATAATAAGACATTTCAGTAAGTGCTAGATTAGTGTTCATTTAAGTGCTTCACAAAGAAATGGGTCTTCATTCTGCGTTTAAAGACAGGCAAGTGGAAGTTTGTTCCACCACCTGGGCACCAGAAAATGAAGAAGAAATGATAAGATGCTTGTCGTCTGTG